GCTCATGTTAAGAACCAGGTCCTCCTCTAGAGAACTCTTGGAGAATAGCATGCTTGTCAGACTCCTGGGAGGGTGACATTCAGTGGTTGAGAAAGGTCTTTGCTGCTTCTAGGGAAAGACTGTCGTGAGAAGGAAGGTGAGTTGGGGGTAGCTGAGGGAATCTGTGGAAACCCAGAGTGAATCCTTTGTTTTTCCTACCTCGGGTATTTTATCTTATAAGTAGGGCCAAGACTATCTTTACCTCTCTTTTGGAGACTTTTGAACTGTTTGAGAAAAGGAACCTTGAAAATACAAGGTGATAGCATTAATAAGAGTAGAATATGATAATATAATAGATGCCGTTCTCTCTTGATTTGTGATGTCATTACATGTTATGGCAGTTGACAGCTTGATATGAAAAGGTGTGATTGCTTTGAGCGTTAGTGACGTGGAATAATGTACGTGGAGCATGTATTTGTATAGTGCTGAGAAGCCCTAGGTTCCTTCTTAAGTGTTCCTTTTGGAGAAAGCGTGAATCAGCACACCTGCATCCGGAAATTTCTGCCCTGTGTGTCAGATGAGCAGTGATAAACCATAAATGGATGAGGTGCCACCTGATTAATAAAAGGGTCAGTCTGGTGTTTCTGGACACTGTGACATTCGTTCCTCAGCTCATTCCTAATGCCGCTGGCTGTACAAAAACCTAAAACGAAAACAGTGATGCCGCTGAAAAGTGGTCAGCTCCATGGCCGTGCATCAAATTAATTATCTCATGTCCAGGCAATTGTAGCTCTTTAAAGCGATCCCAGGGGGACTGCAACTTGCCACATGCCCAGCCCTCCAGCGGGCGGGGAGGGGTTGCGGAGAGGAGAAGTGTGGTCTGCAGGGAGTGAGCTAACTAGAGACCTGGGGAGCCCACACTGTGGTCTTGGCTTTGTTCCTGTGCTGGCCTTAGCCAAATCACTTTCCCGTTTATAGCTTCTATAATATGGGAGGGGAAAATGACTTAATATCATTATATGCACAGTGAGCTGATACATGTGTTGTAATATACTTCCTTCTCGTGTGTGAAAGGTTTCTCAGTGAAAAAAGAACACACACGGAATCCCATTTATAAACATGGAAGTATAATGAAAATAGCCAAACTGAAATTTAGAACGATGATAGTGACTGGAGTTTTAAGTTTATTCATTCACATCTTCCCCTTTTTATTGAGTGGCTACTAACAGGCTGACTGTCGGCAAGGCCCAGTCCCTTAGTCACTGATGGGCGAGGGGTGAGACCAGCTTACAGAGAGCCAGTGCTTCTCGCTACGGTGACATGGGGCAGCTAGAAGAGCACGTAGACATCTCTGTCTGATCTTACGTGTTTTTTTTTTTTTATTTCAGCATATTATGGGGGTACAGATGTTTAGGTTACGTGTGTTGCCCTTGGTTCCCCCCCTCCAAGTCCGTGTTTCAAATATGTCCATCCTTCGGGTAGTGCACATTGTACTCCTTGTGTATACAAATACC